CATATGCATATTTAATGACAGTTTACAGAGATTTTCAGATGGCAGCGGCTGCTTTGGGGGCAGTTCGTCCTCGCCCTCGCCTTTGCCTTTTGCCTTTACCTTGGGCTTGGAGGCGATGCAATTTATTGATTTTCGTGTTTTTATTTAATTTCTTGTCATTTCCTTGAACGTCGCTTATCGATATGATAGATGACGTCGCTGCCTGCGTTGCGTTAAATAAATGATGCTCGCCTTTAAGAGCCGACGTTCGGGAACATTTCGCTTTAGTTAATGTTGATTTGAACTTCTCAAGAATTTCTTAAGAATTTCTCTCTTCCATCAATCTGAAACTTTGGGTTCATTGGCTTTCGTATTTTTTTTTTTTTTTTTTTTTTTTTGTTTTCGGTTCTCTTGGGTGAGCCCTGCCACGCCCCTTTTATCAGTTCGATTAAGTACAGCTGGCGCCTGGTTCTGTTTGTCTGTCTGCATAGTTTAACAAGTTGAAAAGTTGTTCGAACGCCGCTTCTGTCTTTACTGATTGCAATTTAATTAAAAATCAGGAAAAACAAACTTTATAAGCCAATGTATCTTCGGCATGGCATGTTGCGTTGGCTTTCTGAATTCTCTGATGGCTAATTGAAGGCCCTTGTCAACTGCGACAAAGCCACACGCTTCATTAGCCACTCGAGTTGCCCAGCTTATCACGTCGTGTATTTCAAGTATTTCCATTTCCATTTCCATTCCCATTCCCCTTCCCACTCCCATTCCCGTTCTGTGTTATCGTGCATTAAACCCACTCTGGAAACAAGTGCAGCCTCTGCTAAGCCCCCCCAGGCAACTGCACTTTGAACTTTGTTTGTCTGCGATTCAAATTGTTGTTCGTAGGTACATGCTGCTACCCTTTGGCTGTTGTTTACCCAGTTCAATGAATGCGCTTACAGTTAAGCGTATCTATGAGCAGCCCCCCACCCCCTCCTCTCTCTGCCTATGTTCCCCCTTCAATTGCTAAGCCTCAGCTCCTGTTGTATTTCCATTGTTGTTGCCGCCTCTAATGGAGTCTAATCAACAGAGAACTCCGACTCCGACTCTTCCACAATTCAAGGCTACTCGCTCCGCAGGTAGCTTGTGTGCACATCTCATTAGATTCTGTACGGGGTGTAAAGATTCCTTGAGGCATCACAATATCCCCACGTGTAATAGGAATTGCATTTCATGTTTTTGTTAACAAAGCAATTTCATTTCCTATGTGCAGCTCAATTACATCAACGCTCTCTCTCTCTCTCTCTCTCTCTCTCGCAGTCCTTGTGAGGTCTTTTGATATGAGATTAATTTCAAATTAAGGCAAACCTAAAAACTCACACTCCATAATTATCCGCTGCCTTCATTAGAGTTTCTCATTCAATTATAAATTTAAGAGTTTAAAAACTGTGAGTGGCCTTTCTATAGCATTTGGTTTGCTTTTAAATGTTTAATTCATATTTAAGATTAAATACTATATATACATTTAGTAAGTTATTATTTATACAATGTTTGCTTAAGTCTAATCATTAATATTTAATCAATATATGCTTCTATAGTTGGTTGAAGAGTATATTTGTAATTTTTTTTTTTATTTATATATATATATTTTTTTTTATTTTTATTTTTTATTATTATTTTATTATTATTTTTTTACATATTTTTAATTATTTCTTTTATTTTAATTAGTTTATTCTATTTTATTTTTATTTCTTTACTTTTCGTAATATTAATTTTTATTTATTTTTTTTTTATTATTATTATTTTTTTTTAATTTGCATTTTTTTCCTTATTCATATTCAGGTTTTTATATATTTATTTATTTTTTTATTTTTTATTATTTCTTTAGTAAAATCATGTCATTTTATCCTCAATAATATTCGTGTGCAATATTCCTTGTAAAAAATGAATTGACGCATAAATTTGTAATTAAAATTGTTGTATTTTTTGATGCTTGGTATCAGAGGCAGCTATGAATTCTATATTATTTCAAAATATGATATGCATTTTAGTTGGTCATAAATAGATAAATACAACATAAATGAATATTTTAATAGTGATATATATTTTATTAAAATCGAACATTTTGACTTGATTTACTGAGTGGGAAATGAATTTAATTTTCATTTGCGTTTGCAATTTATTTTATTTTATTTTATTTTTTATTTTTACAGTGCGTTGCAGTTCACTGAACAGTTCTGAAAAGCTGTCCAAGCAAACAGTGTACGGTTAATTAATATAACATGTATGTGTATATGCATACATGGGCTTTATATAATCAGAGGAGACAGCACTTGATTTAAAAGTGAGCGATAAAAAAGGAATTTAAATTCGCAGTTGCATTTAATAATTAATCCAGCTGTGCCGAATGTTTGTATTAAATTAAATTGAAAATTCACATTGAAATTGCAAATGTCAGCAATATTTCAATAATTGTGTGTGGGTTTTAGTAAATGGTCAGATACCCTTTGGGAATACCCTTTTCGCAGGCGAGCAAGAACAATAAATGCAATCAAAACAATTGTGGGCTGTAAATTGAATTTTTGTATATTCTGTCCGTTTGTCCTTTGTCTATGGGACTGTCCGTTTGTGCTTTTGGCCATGCTTCATGTTTTGTGCATGTTCCGCAAATATTTGTTCAAATATTTTCGCTGATGCTTAACATGTTTGCAAGCGTTTAAATGCCTTTGTTGTTGTTGCTGCTTCTGTGTGCATTTAATGGTCTCTTTTAATGGGCACGCCCACTCATCTAACGGCCGCAACGCCCCCTCTTTATGGCAATCCGTTGACATTTCACATTTCGTTTGTCATCCGAGTGCGTTTGACAGTACGCCAAATTGCTTTCGGCCCAAATAAATTCACGCTGCGCCGCACAAAACAACAAAATAACAATTTGTGCACAAAATATAATACAATTTTTTATAGAGAGGAATATACAAATTTTTATTTATTTATTTTTATTTTTTTATTTTTTAAAGCTATTATTAGCCTCGAGCTGTGCGGCTCAACATTCATTTGTGTAGCGCATCGAGAGTTATTCCATCCAATTCGGATGTGATATTCATATGCATGTCGAGACATAATAACCAGGTATTACGCATGTAACTGGCTTGATGCGCATTTTTTCTATCATTATGCAATATTTCATGTTTTTTTAATAGGTACCTGCTTTCCATTTTGATTTATGTTATAAATTTTTGTATATGTTGATATTAATATATTATATAATATGAAGTATATTGAACAAAACATGATGCAATTTTTTGTTCCTGATAAGGGACAAGTTCATAAAAAGAGGCCTACATTATAGAAATAAATCTTTATAATTTCTGCAAATTTTATCTACCGTTTTTATATAAAATGTATTGTATATATTTCTTTATTTTTATGTAAATACAATAAATGCAAAACAAATTTTTTTACCTGTATTTCCTCTTCTTAATACACTCTCAATTAAATATAATTTCTGCATCAATTTTAAGCTTAAGCAAATCTTTTTATGTAAATGTACAAAATATTTTATAGCTCTTGTTGGGCAATCGTGGTTAGGGCACATTATTTCAGTGCCACAAGCTGGGCTAAGATTTTGGTGGACCGCAGATAAATTGTCTTTCAAGTTGAGCTTAGCCATTGTTCCAGTTATTTGCCACAGCAGAACATAAACATTTTCTCCACATTTTCTGTGGCAACTGCGCAACGAAAAGGCAAAACAAATACGCAAACGAAAGCACGGCAAATGAAAGCCATAAACTTGGAGCAAAGTACTTTTCCTGCTCGTGCTGTTGTTGCTGTTGTTTGGGGTCAGCTACTTTGCAAGTGGGTCAAAAGGGTTTTTTTTAGTTGAAGATTTGTATAAAGTTTCAGCGCCAAGGCAAAAGTCGCAAAATTCGTAGTCAAATCAACGCCAAGAGTTCTGGCTAACAATTCAATTAAGCCAACTGCAACGGCAATGGCTAAGGCAGGGGTAGGGGCAGAGTTGGGGGCAGGGGCAACTACAATTTATATCGAATTAATTTGCCAGACGGCGCTGAATCAAATTTGCCTATAAACAAATCAAGACACGTCACATTTGTGGGGCAGCCGCGAAAATCTTATTGCAATTGCTCTATACACTGAGCGAAAAGTTGTTTATTTTGGTTATTTTAATAGAAATATTTTATAATAGAAATAGTATTTATATCAAATAAAATTTTAGTTACTTTGAGTTTGATTAGCATATATATTATATAAATTACTAAATTTTGAACATATTTTATATTTGGAATTAAATATTTTTTTTTTTTCAATATTATTTCTATTTGAAAGTTTTTTGTAATATTTTTAAATTTAAAAATAAAACTTTTTGCTTTTTTTTTAGTTACACTAGTTATATTTTTTCTATATTTTCTGTCAGTGTATTTTCGAATGCTCAATTTATTTACAGAACCTTTGGAATTAAATAAATTTATTTCAAAATTTTTTCTATTTGAAGACTGTGAAAAATTGTCATATTATTTATTTTTTATTTTTACACTAGTTATATTTTTTCTATAGTTTCTCTCAGTGCATTTTCGCATGCTCAATTGAATATGCCAAACACATGAGTCTGTTTGGGTTGACTGACAGCGGCGGGCTGTGGCGGGCTTGTGGCGAGGCTCAGAACTGAGCTAGCCAGCCAGACGATCTATAATGTAAATATTTGCTCATGTCGATGTTGATTTGACCAACAAATTGGTCACGATCGTTAAACAGACGCCGCTTTATTGTTGTCGTAGTTGTTGCTATAGAGTTTTTAGTGTGTGGGTTCATTGGAGGTTCAACTACCTCTGAAGAGCGAGAGAGGGAGAGCGGAACAGTGACGGGCAGCAGCAATTGCTATTTGCCATTTGGCAGCGGAAGTGCCAACAGTTGTCAGGAGTGGCTCACCTAATGGCAAATGCAGACCACACAGACTAGCTAGAACACATCTGGTTGGTTGGTTGGCTGGTTGGTTCTCCACTAGAGATGCTTCACTGTTTACTTACATGCACATTGGCGTCTTCTAAGCACTTCGCAGCTGCACTTACCTGCAACAGAGTAAAGAAAATTGAAAAAGGCATTAGAATTATTTCAGCTGTAGTTCAGACAATGTTGCCAAAAGGCGAACGAACAGGGCTTGTTAGTTGGAATGTCTAGAGATGTTAAAGGCCATGGCAAAGTTATTTTCTACTTTTTAGGTGAATATGGGCATTCGCTCCCCTAGGCCTTCTCCAACTGTCAGAGAGTTGGGCATAACAATTATTGCAAGTTCTTGGTAAAGTGCTTAATCTTGAAGTGCCAGCCAGGGCTGGCAAATGCCACCCAGAACGTCCATGAGTGGTAAGTGATCCACTTAGAAGATTGTTGCACAGACAAGCCACGCCGCAAAGGCCAAAGTCAGATGGAAATGAAATTCAAGTTCAGTTGCAGCAACTCTCAAATGAAATTTGCTGAAAAGTTTGTAAAATAGAATAAGCATATTCTATATGAAATCATTAAGAGAGTTTGCGTTTTAAGGGCAACGAATCTGGTTATTAGAATTCATGTTCTTCTAGAAAAGTTTCATATCAAGATTTACATAAATTAAGAGATGAGTTACAAGTGGAGAATAGATTGATAAGATATGGACATAGTGCATACAATTTATATATGGAGGATAGAGTGAGACAGCAAAGACTTGTGATGAAATGATCTAATAAGTCAGGAATAAATAGTTGTCATAAAACATGATGAGACTGTTATTAATATATTTGACAGCCTTCCCAATTCATAGAAATTTATTTAGCAGAATTCATGTATATACAGTCTTCAATTAAAATGCCATCAACTCTTAAGCTCTTCCAATAACTGATCATTAGCAAAGCCATCTGAGTACCTTTAGAAATATGCTTACATTTCGCAATAGTGCGCACCTCAAGCATTGCAACATGCTTCATAATTCATATGCAAAGAGCTGGTTGCAACATCGTCTAATCGGCCGAGTCTATAGTCTTTCATTCTATTCTCTGATCAATATTCAACAATCGCAACATCAGAGATATAAACTTCGCGGCAATTGACACTAAAAAGCTGTATTTTTTGTTTTTAGCGCAGATCCCCACAGATAATCACAAGCTGAAACGCAACTTGGGCGTTTAACTACTCAGTCCATCTCTTTCGCGCTGAGTGTGCGTGGGTGTTGCAACTTGTTGAGTCATGTTCACATTTACTTAGCATGCAGCATGGCAGCTGTAGCTGTTGTTACATCTTTTTCTACTGCTGTCAATGGGCCATCAATCAGCCGGACTAAAACGGATTCAATAGCGCTTGGGCGTCGCTGCTTGTCAACATTGCTGCGTTTCACCCCTTCTCTGGCAACATGTTGCCAAGGCCCGGGCGCACACACATGTTGACAAGTGAAATGCATGGCACGTTTACAGCTTTAATTGGCTTTTAATGTAATGTATAACATTAAACCGCGACTCCCATCAAAATTTATGAACAACTTTCACACAAACAATGCAGCACGCTAACAGAGACAAGCGACACTGGCAACAAATTGTTGCATTTATTTTTTTTTTTGACAACAGCAACAACCTCGAAGGCAGCTGCAATTTTTTTAAGTTTTAAGTTTTTCTGTTTTAATTTTTTTGTGGCATTGCGTGGGCGTTAATTTGCGAGCTTTAATTTAATTATTGCAACAGACACACACAGCGAAAAAATTCGATTGAAATTGTTTTTTAATCAATACAAAAAGGCAATTAACGTATTCGATTGCATTATGCATGCCACATGTGGCGCGACATGCTGCAAATATATCTGCCTCTCTTTCCTACTCGTTCGCTGTCGCCGTCTCTGTCACTCTTTGCTCTTTTGCCAGCCCAACTATTTGTTTTAATTGCCTGCAGCAAAGACAATTAGTTGACAGCAAAACAGCAAGAGACTAAAAAAATATTTATATTGACAACAGAGCTAATTACGTTGCCAATTTCGTTGTTGGCTTTTTCGTAGCTCATGCTGTTTGGATAGGATTTCTGTTCAAAAAACGTCAAAAGCAATTAACAATACCATCTATACATATATGGCCATTCAATTCACTCTAGTGCATACAATTCATATATCAGTTGTTTAAGGAAGTAATTTGTTTTGGGCTATATGAAATATACTTTCTAAATTAATTCGATTCCATTACTTTGAGCTCTACACAATACATATATACATACATAGATATAGGTATACATATATATACATACATGCAACAGTTTTTCCCGCTACGCAAATTGAATTGGAAAGTGTGAAACGCCTTCGCTCTGGCAATTTCGGCCAAGCGTCTGGGCCAAGCCCTAGCAGCAAATTGGCCAGCAAACTGTAAATGCTCAAATAATATGCAAAATGTCGATGCCACAGAATGACGGGCTACAGAGAGGGTGAGGGAGAGAGGGAGTGGTAGAGAGGGGGCTGAGAGTGGGAGTTAAACATGGTACGCAGTTCATGCTGCAAAGCCGAAAAGTCAGTCAAAAGTGGCCACGCGACAATTAGCACATCATTGACACATGTGCAACACATACTCACACACACACACACGCACCCAAAAACACACAAACACTCGGACGCACAGCAGCGTGTGGAGGAAAGTGGTCTGCGGTCTCTCTCTCTCTATCTCTCTCTCATCCACTCTCTCCCTTCCTTTCGCTCTGGGTGCATTTGCGTTTGACTTTATTCTGTCGCCGAGAAATGGAGCATTTTATGCTCCAATAAAAATAATTAAGTGGCGTAATTGATAATGACTCTTTTTTTTTTGTGTTTTTAAATTTGTATTTAAAATTTCTTTATACACATATTCTGTCTGCCTTATGTCATAATTTATGTGTGTGAGTGTGAGTGTGTGAAGCGTGACAAATTTATGTGCCAGCGATAAGGCGGGGTGGAAATTTCGACATGCAAATGAAAAGCGGCGCGAGCAGCTATGCTCTGCCCGATCATTGATAATTGCAATCATTATTTTAATGATGTGGACATGGGAATATATCATTATATATATCATGTAAACTGAGCGAAGCTGCTGAATCACTTTGTGGCTACTCGAAATAAATATTTGATTAGATATGCATTGGAAATAATTTTGTAAATAAACTGATCTTTAGCTATTTTTATGATTTCACCTGCAGCGACCTGCGGTAAATTGCTTCTTCAATCAATTTTTCGGTGATTTAGCTGGATGCATAAATAAACTGTTTAGCATTTCATTCGAATTGCTTATTATTCTATTTGAGTATATGAGTTTTAGTATATAGAGCATTAACACCATATTTCGGAATTATACTATTTTGTGCTGTCGAGTCATAGACAATAAACTGAATATGAATATATATAAAACATTCAATTTTTTTGAATTATAAATAATTTTTATTTTTTTTATAATTTTTTTATGAATATATTTAATATTGATAATAATAGTTTATCATTGTTAATAAATTAATATATTTTTTATATTATTGCATTACATTTATTTTTTTTTTAAATGATATTTTCAATATATGTGTGGTAAGTTCTTATTTTTATTAGTTTGTTAATGTTTATTTATTATCATTTTATTTTATTTTTTTAATTTTACAATTTATTGTATTTTTATTTTATTTTCATATTTCATGACTTCATTTATTTTATTTGAATTCATTTCCATTTTTATTTTTATATTATTTTATTTTTAAAAATACTTCATAAAAAACAGGCGAATATTCTATTTCTTGATTGTGTTCTCTTGTCTTTCTCTTCTCTTTCAAGTAATCTCAAATTTTAAATCTATTTCGTAATGTGCTGTCAAAGCTGTGCATTGAACGCTTTGATTTTGCACTACATTTATAGTTATTGGCTTATCGAGCGAGCAGCTGACTTCATCTCAATTTGCAATTGCAGAATGTTTTCGCATTCGAATGCGTTTGAGCACTTTATTTACGATTGCTGCTGGAGCTGTTTCTCCATGTTTTGTTGTTCCCGAACCTCGTTCGATGAAGTCTTTGCCTGGAGTGGAGTGGAGTGGAGTTGAGCAGAGCAGAGTTGAGTGCAGTCGATTCTCGTTTGTATTGGCCGTCATTTGACATGCCAGCCAACCCCCGTCCCACCTGCACTTAACAGCAACTATGAAAAAATGCTTAGAAAAGAGGAAGAAACTGTGGGGAGGAGAGTATGAAAGAGGAGCAAACTTTGACAAGCTCTGCAATTGACAAGAGCGTGCGATGTTGCTGTGCTACTTCATTCCAAAAACAAGCAAAATTGAATAACATACAAAAAAATGAAAAACAACAACAACAGCAACAACTATTCGTAATTTCAAGTGCTGCGTCGATGCATCGAACCATTCCATTGCTCACTGTCTCTCTCACTCTGTGTGTGTGTGAGTGTGTTTGTATGTGTGTGTGTGTGGGTTGTACTGACTGAGCATGAATAGAGCACAGCTACACAGACACATACAGCTTTACACAGTCATAATTTATAGAGAAACGAAGATGTGATAGACGACGACAACAACAACAACAACAACATAGTAATCCACAATAATCTCAGAGAGGAAAATCTGAATATGAAACGCACAAGGAAATACTGCTACGGATTAGAAATTTAATTCAAAACCAAAAATTTATGTAGAATATTTATTAATAATGTATTTAACATTTCAAATAATTATTTGTATTTATAAATGCTCTATATATATCGAATTGCTTTGAAAATAAATAAACACTAATTTTCTATTTTGTTTATATTTTTACATAATTACAAATATTTTTAAACATTAAATTTCAAATTAAATTTTCCAAAAGCTTAGCTCTCTATAATAACTGCCCGACTCCTGCCAGCAGCTCTCTCACTTGATATACCCCACATCCACTCGAATGCGAGGTACTAACCAAATTAAGAAATGCAGCAACAAATTGGGAAACGATTGACTTGCCAGCAAAAGATTCTCGTTCGCTTCATGGGGGCTGCTCACAAATTGACTCAATTTAAATATCGATTAACAAAGCGAAGAGCTTCCATTCATCTCCCCGGCCACGCAACGGCCTCCGGCCCG